CCCAAGGACTTTAATGTGGCTGTCATGTCCTTCAGGCCATGTAGCCACTGGTCAGTTTCCTCCGAGAAGAGTGAAAAGGAAGGTCCTGTATGGTGTTTTGGAGTGTCGGCAGCACTCTGGAACGACATGGGCACTGTGGAGGCATTCTAGGAATATTCCTGTTTGTATATGAACACCTCTGGGTAGCAGGTGTATGTAGGCCCAAGGACTTTAATGTGGCTGTCATGTCCTTCAGGCCATGTAGCCACTGGTCAGTTTCCTCCGAGAAGAGTGAAAAGGAAGGTCCTGTATGGTGTTTTGGAGTGTCGGCAGCACTCTGGAACCCTGGAGCCATGAACTATGATGCAGGACCACTCCGGTGGCCATAACTCCTGAAGCTGCATCAGCCATGTCGAGTGCTGCTTGTAGAGCTGCTCGGGAAATTGCTCTCCCCTCTTCCTGAAGTGCCTTATACTCCACACAGGAGTTTCTGGGGAGCAAGTCCATAAATTTATCCATTGATGCCCAGGTGTTGTAGGCGAATCTGGACAGAAGGACCTGTTGGTTGGCAGTTCAGTACTGCATCCCCGCAGATGCATAGACCTTTCTGCCCAGTAACTCAGTCTTTTTAGCCTCTCTATTCTTAGGGGTGGCAGCGGGCTGTCCCTGCCTCTTCTTTTGGTTGACTGCCTGAACTACTAACGAACCCGGGGGAGGGTGGGAGAAGAGGTGTTTGTTATCCTCCTGAGGGACAAAGTACCTCTGTTCTGCACACTTATTGGTGGGAGGTATGGATGCCGGGGTTTGCCACAAGGTTGCTAAAATCTTGGCTACCGTTCGGATGATCGGCAACGCCACTCTGGAGGGAGTGTCTACGTGCAAGATGTTGACAGTGGGATCCAAGTCCTCGGAGACCTTGTCCGCTTGGACACCCAAACTTTGGGCCAGGTGGCAGAACAGGTCTTGATCGGCCCTGGCATCCATGGAGGGTGCAGTCAGCTAATGCCTCGTCTGGGGAGGAGGACGATGACTCCTGTGCCATGTTGCTCACAGGGGCATCCGTACAGCCTGGATCGTCCAAAGTGGCCATGAAGGAAGAGGGGGACGACTGGCCTGGAGGTAGCGAGTGACCTGAAGTGAGAGACTGGACTAGAGGAGTTGCCGATGGAGGGACTTGTGGACCTGAAGTGATGGAATCTGGTCTAGGAGGATTCATGCCCTGGGCCTGCTGGTAGGCCCAGGGTGTCCAGAAGGGCCACTGTCCGGGTGGTTGAGATGGCCACATTTGCTGGACCATCGGTATGGGGATCGGCTGGGCCCACTGTTGTTGGTACCATTGTGGAGACGTACGATGCCAGGACTGGTGCCAGGAGCGGGAACGGTGAGGACCATGCTAATTCCGTGTCGGAGTCAGACAAGTACTCCGAGGTGGATCATGGTGGTGACGATGCTGATGTTGACTGGGCTGCGGTGTGCCGAGACATAGCTTTGGGCTTGTCACGGTGCCGAGGCTGAGGAGGAAGCATGGTTGCAACGGAATCCCTCACAGAGGTAGGTGCCGCAGTGCTGCGGGCCGATAGCAGTACCAGGTGGTTAAGCCACACTGGGTCTGGTGCTGTGTCCGGTGCTGGTGCCAGTGCCGAAAGTATCGGTGCCTCAGTGGCCGGTGTCATGAGTGGTGCCGTAGGTGTTGTGTGGCTTTGCTGCACCTCATGCACTGGTTCTCCAGGCACCCTAGATAACCCCTAGAGAACCCCATGCCATCTGGAGGGTGCTGGGGTGGGCGGAGGGGAGGGAGTCGAGTCAATGAGGACCCTCACTGCTTCCAAAGCCTCCGGGGTAGATGGGTCTGGGAAATCTTCCGAGGGACTAACATCCCTCCAGTGGGAAGAGTAGTCGCCTGACCTAGAAAGCCTGGGCACCGGACTAGTTGGTGCTGCATGTCCCACTGTAGAGCGAGTGGAGAGCCTCTGTTTGGGCGGAGACCGACCTGTTAGGCTGCCTCTTCCTTTGTGGTGCCGGCGACTGGGAGCAATGTCTGGTCCTGTGAGGTATCAGAGAGGCGCGGTGTATGGAGCTGTCACACACTGAGGCCAGTGCAGTTAGAGCCCAGTGCTGGGTCCGGTGCTGGTGCCAGAGCCCGTGCCGGACAGAGTGCCGCTTCCATTAAGAGCGCCTTGAGAAATGACTCCTACTTGCGCTTGGTTCTGGGCTTAAACGCCTTGCAGATCTTGCATGCGTCTGTGATATGTGATTCTCCCAGAAACTTTAAGTACGAGGAGTGTGGGTCACCACACGGCATAGGCCTATTGCACTTTCTGCAGGGGGCGTGCTGGGGCAGAGTGAAAGAAGAAAACTACAAAGAAAAGTCTCTAACTCAATTTACACGTACTTAACTGAAGATTGGGTAACAGAGGAGAAGAACAATGAAGAGAACAAACTCAATGACGAGCTGAGGGTTGTTCCAATGACCATCACAGTGGTAAGAAGGAACTGAGTGGGTGAGGGGGCCAGCAGGGGTATATATGGTCCGATATACTGGCGCCACTCTAGGGGGCTCCCCTGCTGGCTGAGGGAAAAGTTTCCAACGGCATGTGCACGTTGTACACGCACACCTATATTGGACTTCACATGAGCAATCACTCACAGAAGAAGTCATTCTTCTGCTCTACTCTTCACTGATTAGGTGTCAGTTGGGGTATTGTGTCCAGTTCTGGGCACCACCTTTCAAGAAAGATGTGAAGAAACTGGAGATGGTTCAAAGAAGAGCAACAAAAATGATTAAAGGCCTAAAAACCATGACCTATGAGGGAAGACTGAAATAATTTGGTTTGTTTAGTTTGGAAACGAGAATACTAAGAGGGGACATGATAGCAGTTTTCAAGTACCTAAAAAGGTATTACAAGGAAGAGGGAGAAAAAATGTTCTTTTTACCTCTGATGATAGGATAAGAAACAATGAGCTTAAATTACAGCAAGGTTTAGATTTGACATTAGGAAAAACTTTGAGTCGTGGTTAAACACGGGAATAAATTGCCTAGGGAGGTTGTAGAATCTCCATAATTGGAGATATTTAAGAGCAATCAGGGATGAGCTATAGATCATGGATAGAGAACCTTTTTTGAGTCTGGGGCTGCTGACACACAGAAAAACCAATCTGGGGCCACACACAACCAATAAACCCATCACTGACTAGCCCCCGACTGAGAAGGAATCACATTCCCTAGCACACCAGAGCTGAGGGCCCAGGCTATTAGATTTTGTGTGCTTCAGCCCTATAGTGGGGCGGAGCACCAGCACAGACTCCCCAATACTGCGAGGAGCCCTGAGACTCAGGAGTTGGAGTCAGGCAAGCTGGGGGCTGCATCTGGCTCCTGGGCCATAGGTTCCCCACCCATGATCTAGATGATAGTCGGTCATGCCCTGAGGGCAGAGGACTAGACTTAATGACCTACTGAGGTCCCTTCCACTTCTAATGTTCTACGATTCTAGGTTGCATTTATAATCTGCCTAGGCCATGTTCCCCACCACCTCTGTCCTAGTCCCTCCCTCCTTTTCCTCTTTCACCAATGCCCCACTCCTGCTCTGCCTCCTCCTGGGCCTGCCGTGCCTTTTCACACCCAGTTCTTCCTCTCCTTAATGCACTGCTCCCTCGCTCCTCCCCGATCCTCCCCCAGAACCTCCTAACGTCACAAAACAACTGATTTGCAGCAGGCAATAAACACTGGGAGGGAAGGAAGGGCGCTGAGCCTCAGGGCCCACCAGTAAGCAGGTTGTGATGGGGGAGGTAGAGGCATTGATAGCGGGTTGCCCAATGGCTGCTGAGTACCCAACATTATTTCCGTAGGCCCCAGAACACTCACGGAGTTGATTCCTAGGGCTGCCACTGCTGGAGACTGAGCCCAAGCCCTGCATGACACACACATACACGGAAGCACCACGCCCAAATCACGGGGCCCGGAGCAATTTCCCTGATTTGCCATACCCTAGGGATGGCTCTGCTACCAGCTGCAGTGCCATCCTTACCCCTGTGAGACTGCTGGTGGTGGCTTTGCCTTCAGAGCTCGGATCTCATTCAGCGACCACCATTCTCCAGCTGATCAGCCCTGAAGGCAATGCTGCCACCAGCATCACTGCCACCCCCTCTACAATTATCTTGTGATACCCCTTCAGCTCCTTTTTGGGCCAGGACCCCTACAATTACTACACCATGAAATGTTAGATGTAAATAGCTGAAATCATGAAATTTATTGTTTTAAAAAATCTCATGACCATGAAATTGATCAAAATGGACCATGAATTTGGTAGGGCCCTATCCAGAATTATCAAGCACTTCCCTGTAGCATGCATAGCTGTTGAAAAACACTTATGTTAATGAATAGTTCCTTAATCTGTCTTTGCATAGCATGTGTGGGTCCATCACAAGCCACCAAGTATTTTCCTTCACTTACAAATCTGATAAAGCCCTGCTCAACATGAAAGTCAAATTCTTCCTTTGTAAGAAGGACTCTTGAGGAAAGTCTCTTTTCCCAGTTACATGGTTGTATTTCTGAAATATTCCATCCCAAGTAGAGGGATAGCAGTGTAGCGAAATTAGACAGTATGGAGAAGATAAAAGATCACCTACTGTGAAGTCAGGAGAGCATAAGGACAAAGACTTTATTCCCAGAGCAAAGGGAGAAGAGGAAAGTACTTTACTTAGCTTCCATAGTTGCTAATCCTTTCAGTCGTGAAGTCAGGAGAGCATAAGGACAAAGACTTTATTCCCAGAGCAAAGGGAGAAGAGGAAAGTACTTTACTTAGCTTCCATAGTTGCTAATCCTTTCAGTCCCTCTCTCTGAGATGCACACAACAAGCAGCTTAACTTGACCCTTTTTCACCAATGCCAGATCCTCTTAGTTTTTTCCTCCACCCCACTGTGAAACCCCACTCTCCTTTCCCTGTCACTGAAATGTGTTTTAAGTCAATCAGCAGTCTTCCAACAAAACTCCTGCTAGGAAAGGTGAGATGAATAAGGGATACACCATCACTACACACATCGACAAAACAGATTCCCACTCCTCTTAGTGGTTATCCTTCACCTTTCATAACTAACATATAGTTCTATGAATAAGCCATACTCACTTTTTGATTGCAAAAACTGTCAGTCCTACAGTGACATTCCTTTGTTTGAACTGCTCATTCAGGATCTCAAGATTATAGGTCCCTTCCCAAACTATTGGCGCAAACCATGGAGTCATCATAAGGACGTCATTTCTCCTGTGGAAGAGGAAGTTTTCTTTAGAATCACACCGTAGAAGTAAGAAATATGGAGGCAGTTTCCTTCCCTACATTTAGAAAGACACTACCAGATCCATGTGTTAAAGTTCAAAAATAGATAACTAATAGGTGTATAGAAATACACAAGTCCATGAACTCACGTGGCATTGTGCAATAAGGCTATATAAATGTTAACAGGTTACTGGGATCTCCTTTGATTAACCCTTTAAGATTTAGTAATAATATAAGAAGCTATCAGCTAACTAATGGTATCTATCCATCATGCATAAAGTTTGTAACCAAATAAAACATCTTGGGTTGTACTTTGTTTAAAGATCCAGGTGTTTCTGAGATTTTGTATGAAGATATTAACACCCAGAGAATCGAGGGAATTACAGACCAGTCATCTTAACTTCTGTACCCAGAAAGATAATGGAGCAAATAATTAAGCAATCAATTTGCAAACATCTAGAATATTATAAGGTAATAAGTAGCAGTCAGCATGGATTTGTCAAGAACAAATTGTGTCAAACCCAACTGATAGCTTTCTTTGACAGGGTAACAAGCCTTGTGGATGTGGGGGTAAGGAAGCAGTAGATATGGTTCATCATGCCTTTAGTAAAGGTTTTTGATACTGTCTCAAATAACCTTCTCATTAACAAATTAAGGAACTACAACTAGATGGAGCTACTATAAGGTGGGCGCATAATTGGTTAGAAAAATGTTCTCAGTCAATGGTTCACAGTCATGCTGGAAGAGCACAATGAGTAGAGTTTTGCAGAGATAAGTTCTGGCTCTGGTTTTGTCCAATATCTTCATCAATTATTTAAATAATGGCATAGAGTACACTAACTCCACCATGAAGCCTCTAGGGGTTTCATACCAGTCCCAAGCTTGGATAAAGGAGGAGGATTGATCAGATGAGTATTGATGTGCTGATTGTAAAGCAACAATATGAATGAAATCTGATACCAGTAAGATTAACTGATAAAAGATGCTGGCTTGGACGTCACCCAGATAAACAAGGTCCACGACACCAATTGAGTGTTGGGAGATGATATCATTCATAGATGATATCATTATCATTGAGGAAGATGAAGAGAAGCTCCTGAGAATAAGATGGATGCAGAAGTTCACCAACGAGGTGTTAGATGTGAAGATACAGCCTAAAGAGAACCTACTGCAGAAGGTTACATAAAGGAAGTTACAGCTATTCGGGCATATCTACAGAATGAATACTGAGCGAAAAGTTAAGACCCTGGTATTCAGCATAATGGGTGCTCTGAATAGGAGAGGCAGACCCCACAGAGAATGGGTAGATGATATAGCAGATTGGTGCAGAGCTAGTCTACAGAAACTTAGCCACTCTGCACTGGACAGGGAAAGATGGAAGGAAATAGTGAGGGAGGCATAGGACACCAACGGGCATTGAGCCTATGGCTGTTGCTGTTGTTCATGATGATGATAGAGTACACTAATAAAAGTAAAGGATGATACTAAGTTGGGAGAGGTTGCAAGTGCTTTGGAGAATAATACTGAGCGAAAAGTTAAGACCCTGGTATTCAGCATAATGGGTGCTCTGAATAGGAGAGGCAGACCCCACAGAGAATGGGTAGATGATATAGCAGATTGGTGCAGAGCTAGTCTACAGAAACTTAGCCACTCTGCACTGGACAGGGAAAGATGGAAGGAAATAGTGAGGGAGGCATAGGACACCAACGGGCATTGAGCCTATGGCTGTTGCTGTTGTTCATGATGATGATAGAGTACACTAATAAAAGTAAAGGATGATACTAAGTTGGGAGAGGTTGCAAGTGCTTTGGAGAATAAGATTAAAATTCAAAATGATCAGGACAAACTGGAGAAATGGTCTGACATAAATAGGATGAAATTCAGTAAATACAAATGCAAAGCACTTCACTTAGGAAGACTCAGTTGGGAAATGACTGCCTAGGAAGGAGTACTGCACAAAGGAATCCAGGGGTTACAGAGAATCACAAACATAATATGAATAATACTGTTGCACAAAAATTGAACATAATTCTGGGATGTATTAGCAGGATGGTTCTTTGAGATGGGTCCCTATAGGTGCTGCATTCTTGGTGTCAGGCTTGTCCCGGTGCCACAGCTCAAAGGCTTTGCATAGCTGTCTTCAGCCGGGTCACGCCTGCGCGGTGTGCAGCATGCACCATTCGCGCTCTTTGATCTTCATGCACACCCGGCTTACGTGTTAGTCCCTCTCACCGGTCCGCATCTGTAAGGATACAAAAAGAAAACAACTCCAGAACAGGGAGCAAGGGTGGGACATGGAGCACCCACGGGGACTCATCTTGAAGGACCATCGTTACTGCACAAAGGTGAGTAACTTCTTCTTGTAGTGGTCCTCATGGGTGCTCCACTCATGGTGACTTTGTAGCAGTACTCACATTGCGTTCCTGGAGTTCAGGCTTGTCAATGACTGAAAGTCATGCTAAGGTCACCGAAGACTTGGGTGTCCACTGCCGCACTATTGCGTAGTGATTCATAAAGGTCAAGCTTGAGGACTATGTGGCTGCCCTGCAGATTTTCGGCAGTGAGACTCCTCTGACAAACGCCATGGATGTTGCCTCTGCCCTGGTGGAGTGTGCCTTAGGTATAGTCTGAAGGGGCTTGTTGCACATCGAGTGACACATGGTGTTGCAACAGACTATGATGTTGAACAGATTCTGGGAAGACAATGTTCACCCTTGGAGCAGTCCACTATGGATACTATTAGGCAGTCAGTCTTGCGCCAGGTCTGTGTTTTGTCTATAATGAATGCTAAAGCTTGACGTACGTCAAGGATGTGGAATAGGGAGTCTCAAGTCGAGGCATGCGGCTTCAGGTGAAAGACCGGTAAAATGATGGGTTCGTTGATATGAAATGGTGTCATGACCTTAGTGAAAAAGGCTGGGTGGGTATGTAATGTGACTGAGTCCTTGGCGAAAACCATGACGGGTGGCATTGCCATTAATACTGCCAGTTTGCTCACCCTATGGGAAGATGTAATTGCCAATAAGAATACCACTTTTATGTTGAACATCGATAACAATGTGGTGGCTAGTGGCTCAAAGGCTGGATACATTAATATGTTGAGGACCAAATCCAAGCTCCAAGCGGGGGGACGGGTCTTCGTGGGGGTTTGAGGTTAGCTATTCCCTTAAGCAATCTCTTGGCCATGGGATGAGCAAAGATGGAATGGCCTTCGATGGTTGCATGGAATGTGATGATTGCTGAGAGGTGAACTCTCAGAGTAAAGAAAGAAAAGGATTTCATACGCTGGTGCCAAGTGTGGTTGGATGCCAGTTTTCTCACACCAAGACACAAACCTCCTCTTGTCAGGTAAGTCCTTCTTGTAATTTGTTTTCTACTGTTCAACAGTACTGTCTTCACTGCCTCTGAACAAAGTTGCTCTTCTACTCTGAACCAGATAGGAGCCACGCTGTCAGGTGGAGAGTCTCTGGTCTGGGGTGTAGCAGGGACCCCTGGTTCTGGGAAAGGAGGCCTGGGAGGAGTGGCAAGGGACGTAGTGGTAACAGGGACATCCTATGAAGGAATGGGTACTATGGCTGTCTTGCCCAGGCTGGTGCTAGGAGTATGACTTGGGCTGCGTCTTCTCTGATTTTCTGTATTACTCTTGGAATAAGTATCGTCATGGGAACACATAGAGGAGAGGCACTTCCCAATGGATTAACAGTTCATCTCCAAGTGAGCCTTTGCCCATGACACCTCTGGAGCAATAAAGGAGACACTTCCTGTTCCTGTAGGTCGTGAAGATGTCTATTTGTGGCAATCCCCAAGCTCCGAAGATGTTGTCCAGGACATCGGGGTGGATTTCCCACTTGTGGTCCTGAGGGAAAAATCTGCTGAGAGCATCTACCATGACATTGCTCGTGCCTGGTAAGTAGGATGCTACCAGAGTGATGAGGTTTCTTACACACCAGTTCCATAAGTGGACTGCCTGTGCGCACAGTAATCAGGATCATGCTCCTCCTTGACGATTGACATAATACATAGTTGCTATGTTGTCTGTAAGCACTTGGATGGTTATACCAGTGATGTGTGTGCCGAAGTGTTTGCAAGAATATGCAAAGAATATGGCTTTTAGTTCTAGGAGGTTGATATGGGAAAGTGCCTCCACAGCTGACCATCTGCCTTGCATGGACATGCCATCAATGTGTGCACCCCATCCCAAAAGGGAGGCATCTGTAGTCAACTGGGTCAATTGCTGTTGACATTTGAATGGGACTCCTGCTAGCAAATTTCTGGGGTTCAAGCACCAACCCACGGATCTGCGATCTAAAGTAGTCGGAGTTATCACCTTGCGCGTGGAGTGTTTCATTGGAGTATACTCCGATGCCAACCAGTATTGGAGACAGAGAAAGTGAAGTCTCGCATGCTGAATTACCAAGGTGGTGGCCATCATATGCTCCACGAGGCGGAGAAAGGTAAGTGCGGTGATGGTAGGGGTGTGGATGATTACTGTGGCCAGCTCATGTGTAATCTGAAAACGCTCTTGAGGTAAGCATGAACATCCGGTGATGGAATCTAGATATGCACCTATGGAATTTATACTCTCTGTAGGATTTGGAGACGACTTCTGTTCAATGATTATGAGCCCAAGTGAGAGAAATATTTGCCTGGTTACTATCATCATGTGTAGTACATCTTGTCTCGATCTGCCTTTTATAAGGCAGTCGTCTAAATACGGAAATATGATCACTTCTCTGCGCTAAAGATGAGCCGCTACTACCGCCAGGGTTTTTGAAAACTCCCTGGGAGCCAATGCGAGTCCAAATGGTAGCACTCGGTATTGGAAATGAGCGTCTCTGATATAGAAATGGAGAAAAAGTCTGTGAGCTGGATGTATTGCTATGTGGAAATACGCATCTTGCTGCAAACCAATCATTCTTCTCTAGTGATGGTATTATCTTGGAAAGATGGAAGGAGTCACCATCTTGAACCTTTGACGGCAGAGGTATTTGTTTAATATCCTGAGGTCGAGGATGGACCTCCATCCTCCAGTCTTTTTCTCTGTGAGAAAATACCATGAATAGAACCCCCTTCCTCTGAACTGAGGAGGAACGGGCTCTATGGCCCCTGTAGAGAGTAGGGCCTCTTCCTTCAACAGAGTCTCGTGATATGGGTCCCTGAAGAGGGACGGGGTTGGTGGATTTGTGGGTGGTATGGTAGTGAAGGGAATGGCGAGCCTGGATACCACCAGTTGTAATACCCAGTGGTCTGATGTAATCGCCGACCATTGATCTTGAAAAGGTTGAAGTTGATGGTGGAAAAAGTGAGTGACTTGTTGTTCCATCACCATAAAGAATTGTTGCATGCCCTTGACTGAAACATCAAACTTGCTGTTTGGAGTTTTGTTGGTTGGTCATACGGGATGGTTGAGATTGGCTATGTTACGGGCGTTGTCTTGCATGTGACTGGTCTATGGTTCACTGCTGTTGTTGTCTTTGATAAGGATAATCGTACCTCTTCTGGTATGGGTAGTATCTCTTGCATCAAAAGGTGGGGGTTTACATCCCCAGGGTGCAGAGCGTAGATTGGGAATCTTTTCCAGAGTGGAGGATTTTATCCGTCTTTTCTGCGAACAACTTGTTTTTGTCAAAAGGGAGGTCTTCCACTTTTGTGTGAAGCTCCTTTGGAACTTCTGCGGAAGTAAGCCAAGATAAGCGCCTCCTCGCGATTGCAGTTGCAGTGGTGTGGGCTGCTGTGTCTGCCACATCCAGCGAGATCTGCAAACTCGCTCTTGCTGCCATTAAGCCCTCCTGCACTAGAGACTTTAAGAGGGGGCGCATACTTTCTGGCAGGCATGGAAGAATCAGTGATATCTTTTAATAATTGTTGAAGTTGTGGTTCGATAGCAAGGCAGCATAATTAGAAATACGTAGGAGAAGGGTTGCCGAGGAGTAAACTTTCCTGCCGAATATATCTAGCTTTTTTATATCTGATGCTGTCTTATATTGCGGTGTTTTGGCCTGCTGTTGTGCTGCATCTACCACCAGTGAATTTGGCTGTGGATGGTTAAAGAGGACTTCTAGATTCTTGGAAGGGACAAAATATTTCTTGTCCGCTCTCCTGCAGGTTGTTGGCTCTGACCCTGGTTTCTGCCAGATGATGTCTGCCACTTCCATAATGGCTTCATCAATAGGGATGGCAACTTTCGCCCGTTGCCTTGGGTCCAAATTTTTCAGCAGTCGATGTTTGTACATACCTTTGTACAGCAGATCAGCAGGATGTCAGAACCAGAGCTTTGAAAGGGGATATGCATGTGCCTGGAGAGCAGACAGCCAAGTTCAAATAAAGAGCAGAGTGGCTACTTGAAGAATTATGGGACATATCTGGTGACCTGTGATGATGTAGAAAACAATTAAAGTGTTTACACTGGCATCCCAGTGCGGTAGCCACAGCGCAGAAAGCTCTATGTCTCTTGTCGAGGCTGTGGCTGCTGGGCTCTGTTTGGGTGAGGCTAATTTGGAAATAAGAAAGCATTAACCCACCTCCCAATATGGCAGACATTTGCAGGCTGTGGTCTGTCACAAAACCCTTTCCGAAGTACTCTGTGTCTAGCTGTGGGATAGCTGCCACAATGCATTCTTCTCTGAGCCATTGCAAGAGCTGCTAAAGTGGATGCACACCACCATCACAAGGAGCACAGTGTGGACACACAACAGCGGTATCCCTGCAGTACTCTGTGAGCAGAGCTGTAACTGCCAGTGCAGTAAATCTGCCAGTGTAAACATACCCTGAGTCCTGCCACGACTGCAGGGGATAGGACTGGAGGCACTGACGCTGACTCCATCGGAGCTCAGAGGCTGGAGCTTCCACAGGGAAAAACATATAGGCAGCCAAGTTCCTTCCTCCCCCCAGTGACTTTTTCCCATTGGTGGTCCTGCTGACCAACTCCTCCTCCTCCCTCTTGGCATCCCCCACTCCCACAAACAGCTGTTTTGCAGCAATCAGGATACTCCAGGAGGGAGGGAAAGGAGCATGCTCAGAGGAAGAGATGGGGGCAGAGATGGAACAGGAGAGGGCAAAGGAGGGTCAAGAAGAGGTGGGGCTGGACTGGGAGTTTGGGGGAACAGATAAAGTGGGGACAGAGAGGGGTGCAGGAGAGATTGAGCACCCCCAGCTAAAGAAAAAGTCAGCACCTATGTCTCAAGGTCCCTTTCCGGCCTATGGTTCTAATATCAGAAACTTCCTTAAGAATTTTGGTTTGGCTTTTGTCTATTAACTTCAGTTGTATCTTGGATGAAACAAAAACACTTATTTTTAGTTTTACTTACGGTGGCTTTAGAACCTGTGGCTCTGCGTAAATCATTCTAAAGGGAAAAGAGGAAAAATTATTTCAAGTTAAGGAACGATTTTCATAGCTGTTAAAAAAATCCTTCTGGAGGATTCCCCCCGCTCAGGGTATGTCTAGACTACATGGCTCTGTCGACGGAGTCATGTAGATTTGTTTATTGGGCAAAGGGAAATGAAGCGGCGATTTAAATAATCGCTGCTTCATTTAAATTTAAATGGCTGCCGCGCTGAGCTGATAAACAGCTGATCAGCTGTTTGTTGGCTCAGTGCTCTAGTCTAGATGCTCCCGCGCTGACCTGAAAGCCCTTTAGTGACCTCCCCATTATGCCTCGTAGGATGAGGTTTACCAGGGAGATTGATAAAGGGCTTTCATGTCGACAGGGGAGTGTCCAGACTGCCCCAATCTGCCGACAAACAGCTGATGGGCAGAGCAGGGCAGCCATTTAAATTTAAATGAAGCCGCAATTATTTAAATCGCAGCTTCATTTCCCTTTGCCGAACAAACAAATCTACTTGGCTCCGTCGACGGAGCCATGTAGTTTAGACGTACCCTTAATGAACAATGACAGTCCAGGAATTTAACTACTAAAATGTATATCAACAGAAGACCATTATATTGACTAATTTGGTTTTGGCTCCCACCCACGGGCTGCATGTTGAGCCCCATGTAAACCCAAACCGCACTGTGGGTCGCAAACAATACTCAGAATTGCTCAGGAAAGAGTTTTAACTATACCTCTGGCTTGAGTTTAAATCCCGGTTCAAGTTACAAATGAACATTCTAATATTGGTCTCTAATATTGGTTCTGATCACAAAACCGCTACATTGTGCGTCTTCATTAACAATCTATGCTTATGAGAGGCTCAGAGGGACATAGCAAAAGTCAGGAATGATGTGCATTAGAAAAGCAGTGTGAGCATGCAGGATTGAAGAATAAAAGTTTTGCAAGTGGGGAATGGGGCACATTGATAGAGCAGTGGGTGTGGCTCAGAGTTTGAATAGTAGAGGTGCAGGCTGGTAACATTCATAGAGGGAAATCCATCGTATCTCTGCTGAGAGGTTGGTAATATCCAAACTTATCTAAATCTCCGTGTCATCAGGCTCTCCTGACAATTAATAATACAGAAATGCAATGCTAAGCTGTAGTACTGGAGTTTCACAAGCATAGGTGATCATCCTTCAGGAACCCCAGAGTTCTTCTAAAAGCAGATCAAATGCTTAAAAGAAACTAACTACAAGTTCTACCTTGGTAATTCAATTTCCAGTAAGTTCTCCAGGAGGTAGGTACGGTTGCTATGGAGGAAGAGCAATGGAACTTTGGTTTACAAAAACACGGCATGAAATAGAAAATAACTAGTCCAAGAAATCATTGAGTTATTTCACATTTACCAGCATCTAACTATAAAAGAAATTAACAACAACAAAAAATCTGCTGTATTATCTTTGTTTCTTGAATATTAGTGTGATCATTGGTTTGTTTTTTCATTGAAAGAAAACATTGGACATTTAGTTTACTAAAAATATAGCCTTATTAGAGCATAATTTGTTTAAAAGTAAAACAAGTCCAAGGAAGCTACATCTGCAAACCTACATATGAATATTCCTTATTCACATAAGTACAAGTTGAACCTCTTTAGTCCAGCACCCTTGAGGCCTTCCCGGTGGGGAACCAGAGACTGTCAATATTTTATATCAGCACTACCAATACTTCCGCTGCTTAATGGGCTCTTAGAAGACATGTAATTAGAACTAAACAACAGCACAGAACCCTGAGCGCTAGAATTGATGGACGTAAAAAACTCTATAGGACCACGGGAAACTTGACGACACCCATGAGGATTGGATATCCAGCTAATAAAATCATCCCAGACTATGGAGGTTACTGGACTGGAGAGTGCAGGACTAGAGAGGTTCAACATATAGTCCCACTGAAGCAAATGGTACTATCATATCAGTAAAGGCTAGTCAAGTTAGAAAACATTTGCATGATTATGTCACAAATATTAAATGGAATTAACAAAAGGCTCCACCTTAGTAGATTTATTTTGTGAAAGTCATCTGGGTCCTGGGTATTTGGGCTACAGGAAGAAAGCATGTGACATTTAGTGTTTGGTTGTTTTGTTGTTGTTGTTTTAAACACAGCATAGAACAAAATAGGCAGTCACCAGAAGTGTCAAGATTAACACCATTTAAACATTTAAGAGAAGAGAACAAAAGATTCCACCTTGGATGTTTTATTTTTTGTGCCTCATCCAAGTCATGGCAGAGAAAGTGATGGAAATTTTATTAATTAAATTTGTATGGCTAGTGGCAGACATGGGAGGGTGGGGAATGGGCATTAGGCTCTTTCCCCAAGCCAGCACATGGTACCACCTTATATGATAACAAGAGAAGAAATACTATCCCTTTTAGTTGGTGGAGAAGAGCAAGGAGAAAAAAAATCACCACAAAACCCAATACTGATTGACAGGAACCCGGCCAATTCTTTCATATAAACACCTCTGGTTTGGATATCATGTCATGTGGTAATCTCCAATATGTAGGTCAAGTTTCTCTGGAATTACGTGCTGGTATTTGGGTGGGTGGGGTTCTCTTATTGTCCCTCCTAATTACCCAGAAGTAAAGTACTTTTATCTATCTACTGTTTCTGAATCAAATTCTGATCTGAAACATCATTCAAAGCCTAGTAGCAAACATAATGGCAAAAACAAGATATTATTATATTGCAATTACTATACTAGTCTGTGCAATGGTTATATTATATAAAGTCTCCTGTATTACAAAGAAAATTATATTAGAAGATCGTTAAGGTTTTAAAGTAAAACATTCAGAAGTTACAAAATTCCAGAATTAAGGATGTCCATGAAACCTTAATTTTGCCCTATAGTGCATATACATTGGGATACCATCTTTAATTACATGAGCACCTGCTATTTTTTCCACAGCACCCCTGGCTCAATATTGGTGCTATATGGTGCCATACAAATTAGTTTATATAAAGGCTGGGGGCACACATTGGAAAATGTGGATAAAACAAAATATTGAATCAATGCTTGTTAATTCAGTATTAAATCATATTATTTCATTGCCTTTTTGAGTGTTAAGAACTTGGAATGGACTGTTTGAAGGCTGAGACACATAGAGGATGGTGGAAGTCCATGAGCGAGAATGAAGGCTGAGTGAGAGTGAGGGACATACAGACAGATCTGGTTAGCTAGAGGAAATTAGACTTCTAAAGATGGCCTTAAGCAAGCCATCTCTCATTAGAGAAGGAATGGTCAGTAGTGTTTTCAGAAAGCAATTAATTACACCTTTGGATGCCAGCCCACGTCAATGCAGGTGAGAGAGAAATGGGGGAAGAGGGCTGAACAGAACATCTACAACTAAAGCTCAAACCGTGCATTCTCACCAGCTTCTGTATTTCATTGCAAGCTCAGATCAGGTAATCAAGGCTCACATACCTTCAATGGAAAGGATTTTGCCCAGTGCTTACCGTTGTAAGGGTCTAAGTGAACTGAATGAGTTCTCTCCTGACAGCTAGCTGGGTGTGGGAGAGACATCCAGAACAAAACCGTATTTATATAAACACTCAGTCTGCTTAGAGCAGATAGAGTGCTGTTGCTCACAATTGTCAACTTTGGTTGGTGTTGGGTTACAAATCACTTTAGTACAGGCTAAAACTCTCTAATCTGGCACCTTTGGAACCTGATAAGAAAGAGAATTTTCTGGACCACAGTAGGTCAATATTGTTTTGTAGCATGACCAACACTTCCACTGCTTACTGGGCTGATAAGAGATCATTTAGAGGTAAATTAGAGCTAAATAACATCACAGAACACTCAGAGCTAAGACTGGTGACGGTAAACAAACTTTATGGGGCCACGGGAAACTTGGCCACACCCCGAGAAAGGTGGACATCTGACTAAAATCATACTGGACCATGGATGTTTCAGGATGAGAGAGTTCTGGATTAGAGAGGTTCGACCTGTACTGAATGCAGAGGTAGTAAAATTCTGTTACCAATGTTGTTGGCATTATTGTGTGAACACAGGGAAGCGGTACTCTATTTTATGTCTCCTAAATGAGGGGGTCACCCTCAGCTAAAAGTACCTCATGAAGCAAGGGGTTGAATATCAAAATTACCTGGGCAAATAAGAGGCGTGGGTGCAGCTCTCTCAGTGAAGGGATGTGAACCCTCCCCCAAGTGGTCTCCTTGGACTATTTTAACTAGTTTACCCTGCCCCCACTGATCAAAGAAAGAGCTAAATGGGTTTTATTAGGAGCCTCTGTGTTGGGTCAGGTCCCCCTTGGGACTGAAGTGTTGAGGCCTCACTGAGCCTGCTTACCCTGACAGCCTGGACACCTTGTAGCCCTGTCTTGTTGAGCCCAGATCTCCAGCCTATTTCAACTGAATCACAGGGACAGGGCCACGTCCCCCAGGCTGCAGACACAGACTGTAAAGCAGCACCTTACTGTGCGACCTTTTCCCAGCACTCTAATACAGAGCACCTCTGGGAGCTGAACCCCAAATAAATCTGTCTCCTGTTGTATGGAAAACAGAACAAGCTCATGTACATTTGTCCTTTTTCTCAATATAAAGAGAGATGCACAGACTCCTTGTCCCAGGTAACAATTATTTACACTGGGTTTATCAATACACAAAAGTGATTTAATTAAGTATAAAAGGGTATGTGTACACTAGCCCCCTAGTTCAAATTAGGGAGGCTAATGTAGGCATTTGAAGTTGCAAATGAAGTCCGGAATTTAAATATGGAATGAGGTGTAACAGTTAGTTCGAATTGCCGTTTCACTGCCGCGTGTAGCTGCGGGCAGTTACTTCGGACTAGTGGAATTTAAAAATGGCGACCGGATGGGAAGATGCAATTAAAGCCTGGGATATTTAAATCCTGGGCTTTATTTGCAACTTCGAATGCCTACATTAGCCTCCCTAGTTTGAACTAGGGGGTTAGTGTAGACATACCCAAAGGTAGGTAGGATGGAAGAGATCATAAGAGTTAGTAGAAAGAACAAATTAGGTTACTAAGCAAAATAAAACAGAATACACAAACTAAGCCTAATACACTAAATAAACTAATATCACCCTAAAGTTGTTCTTATAATTATCTTCAGAGATCAGACATCCTTCTAGCCTAAGCACAGTTCCTTCCTCTAGTTAAGTCTTAGTTGTTTCCAGCAGTCATCTTGGGTGGGGTAGCCAGGAGAACTGACTCATTCTCAGCTCTTAACTAGGATTAGTATAGGCAGAGTCCTTTGTTTCAGTTTGATCTCCTCCCTGCTTTTCTTGGAAATGTGCAGATTTTAATATAGATTTCAGTATCAGGTGACAGGATAAACATCTCTGCAAGGCCCTAGTCTCCATATTTCATGGGCTAACCCACACCTCTGCAGGAATGTTCTGCTCCATTGTCTCTTGCTAATGGGCTATCACAGCCTTGAATCAGTGGTAGTAATCCAAATCAGCAAATATGCCATTACAGAGACTCCATCCAGTAATCCTCACTGATTAATGAGGGTAATAATGCTCCCTGTCACACACATGCCCTGACCCTCCCCCCACTTCAGTGTCAATGTAGTAGGATGACCACAGAACAATGGGATTGGGAAACCATGCGCCTATCCCATGTGGCATTGCAAACCCTTCCCAAAGCACCCTGTATCTAGTTGCACAGTGGGATAGCTGCCACAATGCACTGCTCCCTGGGCCTTTGCAAGAGCTGCTAATGCAGGTGTGCTCCACCATCACAAGGAGCACAACAGTGGTTTTCCCTGTAGTGCTCTGTGAGCAGAGCTGTAACTACCAACGTTGTACATCTGCACTTGTGGCACACTCTCATGAGTCCTGCCACAAGTGCAGGGGAGTGGACTAGATGAGCTCTCGATGCACAGGCACTGACTCCATGAATGCTCTGGAGCTAGAGCTCCCACAGGGAAAAATTACCAATGCTCATTGCCCCAGAGCAACCCAGCTCCTCCCTCCCACCAGCGCCTCTCTCCCACTGCTAGGACTGCTAAGGCTGTGGTGGAATGGACATGGTGTCAGGGGCAGAGCAGAGGCAAGAAGCGGGAGAGGATCAAGTACCTCCAGCTAAAGGGAAAGTCAGCGCTTATGTCTTAAGGTCCCAGTCAGGCCTATGGTTCTAAATTCAGAAACTTCTTTTTGCATTTTGGTCAGAGTTTAGTCTATTAACTTTAGTTACATCTTGCAGGTAATAAAAACGCATATTTTTAATTTTACTTACGGTTGCCTTAGAATCTGTGGTTTTGTGTAAATAATTCTAAACAGAACACAGGAAAACAAAAATTATTTCAAGTTGAGGAACAATTTTAATAGCTCTTCAAAAAACCTTCTGCAGTTTACAGATAAAGATTCCCACCACTCACTGATTCCCACCAATCAGTGAGAGTGACCCAAACCAGCAAATACGCCATTAAACAGACCCCATTCAGTAATTCTCACTTGATCTACACAAATGATACATACATACACATGGGATAATCTTATTCAGTAGATGACAGTTTTTCCAAGGATATATTACGTGAGGCATCTTGCATGAAGCTCATCTCAGTTATGACATTCCTTGCATAGTAATCTGTTCAAAAAGCTTATGGAAAGCCCTTTCACCACCACCTTGTTATTAAGACCTCACTCAGAGATGAAATCAGTTGTGGGAGAACTGATTCCACCCTCCCTGCTAAGAGATAAAAATCACTGACAGCTGAAACTACGTGAGAGTGTTTGTGCCCACCCTGCAAAGAGATGAAAGTTACTGATGTGCAGAGATTACAGCAAGAGGCAGGTGGTAGCAGAAGGTGACTAACAATCACCTGGCAAACAAGTGGCTGGGTGGTTAGCAGAGAAGGGCAGTGAGCAAATGCCCAAGCAGCAGGAGGAATAAGGTGCCTTTTTACACCCCACTCCACCCAGGGTGGGAAGTGAACTCCGTAGCTGCATCTCTGAACTTTAGCTCTGCACTGGCCAAGCAATGCTGACCAGCAACAGTGAGTGGGGTGCAGAGAGGGTCAGGCATGTAAAAGGGTTTTGAGTGGCTGGACTTAAGAACCTGAGAGGAAAAGGACACTCCCCAGCCTACTTGGGGATGGCTCTTTTGCTCATGGTTTATGTTTATGAACCTTCTTGCTTTGGTGTTTTCTAAAATTAATGCCAAGTGACTCCCCTTCTTTTACTAAAAGTTTCTATCCCACACTCGGACTCTGTGCTTGCTACTGGGGAAGAACTGACTCTCTGTAGTGCCCGGGTGTGGTGTGTCAATTTTACTAGTTGGGGACCTGAGCCAGTTTTGTGTTGTATCGATGGAAAGGAAACCCTCTGCTGCATCCAGCCCAAGTTGCTGCTGGCTCCACCTGGCAGAAGGGTTACACTAAGGCTAGGTCTACACTAAACCCCTCTGTCAGCAGAGGCATGAAATAAAGCACATCAAAAGTGCAAATGAAGTGGGGATTTAAATATCCTGCACTTCATTTGCATAATCACGTTCTGGCGCTGTTTTGATCAAGCGCCATTTTGAAACTGAAACCGTGGTTTAGACACGGTTTTGCCGACAGTGGGGTGATTTTTCAACAGATCCTGTACTCCTCAAAAAACAAGGAGTACAAGATCTGTCGAAAAATCACCCTGCTGTCGGCAGAACCACTTCTAAATCATGGTTTCAGTTTCAAAATGGCACTTAATCAAAACAGCGCCAGAACGTGATTATGCAAATGGAGTATTTGTACGTTCTATTTGCTTTATTTACATCCCTCTGCTGAAAGAGGGGTGTAGTGTAGACCTACCCTAACATAGTTTGTGATGGTGTGTCAAGATCTTGCCAAAGTACGGCTCCAAAGGATCAGCATGACAACAGGTGCAACTCAGCTCTTCATCTGTGGCTGCTGGTGTCATTAGAAAGTTGGTGGATGATGTGGATACAGGAAAGGGCCTTGCAGAGCCAGTTTACAGAACTAACTCCTATAATGTATCTAATTCAGAAAAATGAGGAGTAACGGTAGTTCGAATTAATGTATCTAATTCAGAAAAAGGTACGCACTAGAGCCGTGCTGTCCCTCTCCACCTGCCTCTGAGGGGTCACTGCTAGTTTAAATTGAGTTTTCATTTGAAATGTGTCAGCAAACCCCAATTAAGCCTTAAGAACATAAGAATGGTCGTACTGAGTCAGACCAAAGTTCATTTAGCCCATTATCCTGTCTTCCCACAGTGGCCAATGCCAGATACCCCAGAGGGAGCGAACAGAACAGATAATCAGCAAGCGATCCCTCTCCCATCGTCCATTCCCAGCTTCTGACAAACAGAGGCTAGGAACATCATTCCTACCCATCCTGGCAAAAAGAGTATTGATGGACCTAATCTCCATGAATTTAGCTAAGTCTTTTTTGGACCTGTTAAAGACCTGGTCTTCACAACATCCTCTGGCAAGGTGTTCTAAAGGTAGACTGTGTGCTGCATGAAGAAAAACTTCCTTTTGTTTATTTAAACCTACTACCTATTAATTTCATTTGGTGACCCCTAGTTCTTATGTTATGGGAACAAGTAAATAACTTTTCCTTATTCATTTTCTTCATACCTGTCCTGATTTTACACTCCTCTATCATATTCCCCCTTACACTCTGCTTTTCTAAGATGAAAAGTCCCTGTCTTTTTAATCTCTCTTCATATGGCACCCATTCCAAACGCCTTTTCATTTGTGGTGCCCTTTTCTGAAACTTTTCCAATGCTAATATATATTTCTTGAGATGAGTGACCACATCTGTATGCAGTTTTAGGGGCAATAAGATATTTTCTGTCTTATTCTCTATCCCTTTTTAAATGATTCCTAACATTCGGTTTTCTTTTTTGACCATTGCTGCACACTGAGTGGATGTTTTCAGAGAACTATCCACAATGATTCCAAGATCTCTCTCTTGAGTGATAGTAGCTGAATTATTTCCCATTATTTTGTATGCGTAGTTGCGATAATTTTTTCCAATGTGCATTACTTTGCATTTATCAAAGCTAAAAGAGAAGTGGTTAGGAATCTCAACAAAGTGGAATTGATTCCAGCCCTTTAACTGTAAAACCTCAAAGGCTCACATAATCTAGGAAACTCCAACACAGAATAGTTACCTCATTGTGCTGAAAGTCTTGACTGGTGTGTGCTGCCAGGTATGATTGGATGTACTCCTGCACATTAAATCCAAATGTCATGTTAAACATGGAGATCTAAATAACATAAAAACTTCACACTAAAAATCACAGAGTCCAATTTCTAGGCAAGTTTAAAGATGCAAACTTTACAGCAAAGAAACAAACCCAGAAGTTTAGCCTTACAATAGAATAAATCAAACCAAAGGTTGCTAGAATGCCGTGGTAGATGAAGAAAAGCAGCTTCATATTATTATCTGTCATGCACTGGGAGTGCAGTCAATGATATATCGTGATCTCTGCAATAAAGAGCTTACATCGTACATCATCATTGGAATGCTAAAACTACAGCCGTTAAAAGATAATCGAAGAGAGTGATATGGCAAAACAGATGTAGTGTTTTACTTACCAAATTTGTAAGACCTCACGCTCAACAGTATTTCTGTTTGTGTCTGTGTTACGTGATAATGCTTCAACTTCTGTGCTTCAAAAGCTCCTTTGTTTTTAAATTTCACTCATTTTTATTTAAAAATATTTAAAGATGAAAAATACCCCAAAGACAACCCGAAACTGAAAACAAAACATTTTGTTTGACCCAAAAAGATTATTTTATTTTGCCAGGAAACCAAAAAAAAAAAAAAATCAGTTTCAATCTGAAACCAACTGATTTTCTTCTTCTGTTCAGACCCAATCTGAGAAATATCCATAATTCGGCCAGATACTAAAAACCATGCACTCCGGATTTATGGCTCATTGTAACAATTTATTGCCAGCTAACCCTTAACTGCTCACTTAATTTTAGGTGTCTCCCACAGCATGTGCAACAACCTGTCCCAACTTGTATTTAGCTCAAATGCTTGCGCCAGACCTAAAGAGGAGCTTTGTGAAGCTCTAAAGCTTGTCCCTTGCAACAACAGAATTTGGTTCAATAAAAGATATTGCATCAGCTACCTTGTCTCTCTGAAATCCTTAAACCAACACTGAAAACCACATTATGGATTCATATTGAATGTGCAATCTGCTGTAACCGCCCATCCTTCTCAGCAGTACTACTACCTACCCTATATTTCCTCATTTTGTAGTTGGGCATTTGATTTTTTTCTTGCTAAGTCCAGCATTTTGCTCTTGTCCAAGGGCAGGAGCTCAATTCTTGGCATGAGACAAACTGATGGAACCTTCAGGGACAGTGGGAAAGCTTCCCTCTGAGCCGCCGTGTTTTTAAAGTAGCAAATGTGCTGTGCAACTAGACAAACGCTGTAGGATGCTCACAAGGAGGGGGGCAGTGATTTCAAGAGTTAATGAT